AATAGTTGTGGGTGAGGACAAAGTCAAAGTTCAGCGACCAGGTTTGCCATAACATACTGTTCCAGATGGCTTGTAGTCCATCTTTGTGTGGAATGTTGGTGTAGAGGGCTTCTACATCCATAGTGGCCAGGATGGTGTTATCAGGAAGATCACCGATGGACTGTAGTTTCCTCAGGAAGTCAGTGGTGTCTCAAAGGTAGTTGAGAGTGCTGGTAGCGTAGGGGCTGAGGAGGGAGTCTACATAGCCAGACAATCCTGCTGTCAGGGTGCCAATGCCTGAGATGATGGGGCGCCCAGGATTTCCAGGTTTATGGATCTTGGGTAGCAGATAGAACCTGGTCGGGGTTCTAGGGGTGTGTCTGTGCAGATTCGTTCCTGTGCTTTTTCAGGGAGTTTCTTGAGCAGATGGTGTAGTTTCTTTTGGTAACCCTCAGTGGGATCCGAGGGTAATGGCCTGTAGCATGTGGTGTTAGAGAGCTGCCTAGCGGACAAAGGAGGTGCTGTCATCATCACGAATAGGTCTAGGCGCTCAGTGACAATAAGTTGGCTAGATTAATTTTAATTTTTCTTTCGTAAACACTGTCAACTACAGCAACATTTGAAGAAAAAGCACAGGCAATAACTCTTTAGGAAGTCTTCCTTATTTCCTGTTGTCCATCACAGGGTTAATGAAACCATTCTCTGCAGCATCCAATACTACCTCTTTTCCAAGACAAGCTGACTAGTTCTACAGTAGACCAGTTCTACTGTAGCATAGCAATTATGTTCCTGTGTGAATTACAGTACCCTAGTAGCCATTTAGAAATGTACCAAGATTCTTATCTTTCTTCATAGAATACATTTCCCAATTTATATAGTGTCATGAACATTTGAATATTAATTTTGTTTTAGTTACAGTGATGGGGACCCCACAAAGTAGCTGCTTATCTGAGGAAGTCCCCTCTCTCTCCCAGCATGACTGCTACATTCCACATCATTTGGGGCACTGAAGCCAGAGCGAGCCCCCTAGGTATGTAAAAAACAGCTTTTGGAAAGGCATTCTCCTTGAGGGTCCCTGGACTTTGGAAATCATTTTCACCACCCTTCCATCTGAAATAACCTGAAGCTTTAGGACACACTGTAATGGAAGTCTGTAGCGTTGCGGGGGGGAGGGGAAGAAAGGGTTTATAGGATCTTAGGTGGAGATATTTCAGTTTTGGGTACAATCCTCATTTGCGCAGAGAAGTGTGGATGCTTTGCTTCTGCTCTCTTGGCTTGCGTTTTAGTTTGTCAAGGCTTCCGAGAACATGGGACAGGTATTCTTTGTTATCATCTAACTCGGTTAGAAATGTCCAGAGTGACCTGAAAAAATAGATATCAAAATTTATTTGTTATTAGCCATATGTATTAGAATTGTTGTTTGGCCTGTTCATAACCCTCCGGCTGGGTAGGCCATATTTATGAACTAGCTGAAAGCTCATGCTGTCACACAGTTGTAATTTGTCAAGTCATGTGTATAAAAAGTTGAAAATGCCCTTGATGGTAACATACTGCAAATCCCAGTGATGATTGAACCTGGAGAAATTCTAAACAAGAGCAACAAAAATTCTAAACCATACTGGTAGTTGTTTCCATAACTCCATCCTGACTCAGACATGCTAGGATTCAGTGTGCTGGCTGTGTTGATTTGTGTCTGGGGAGATTATAGTGGTAGATTTGTGCAGGTGGCATTTGGGCCAAGTAATCCATCATATGTGCAGTCTCTCATTCAAACCATGAAAGTGTCACATGCAAATTAGCTATAATAGTAGTGGTTGGTTGAGCAACCTCTGACATCCCAATGGTCTAGGTCGCTTAGCATGGCCTCCCCTTGTGATGTACAGCTACATTAAGACATGTAATTTCATAAAGTCAAAATGGCTGAGTACTTAAAAACTCAACAGTAACAGACCGTGAATCCCAGTGACGATTGAACCTGGTGATATTCAGAACAAAAAGCTCTCAACTATGGTTGTAGCTGCTTCTGCCACTTCGTACTGTCCCAAAGACATTTCAGAGTGACATTCCTGGAATCCTATTATATGGATACATGTATATTTAATAGTAACATTCCGAAGTGTTGTTATGACATCTTCCACCAACTACGTACAAATTCAAAGATTAAGGTTGCTATGGAAGCCTTAATTTTCAATTTTTCACTCCTTTAAAAGATTTTAGCTTCCTTGGTCTAAGGAAGCCAATTTCAATTTCTGTAGCAGGCTGTGAAATCAGTACTTGTGGCCTTCCGTATGGCTCAGAAGTAAACTGAAATTGCTGGTAGATGAGAGCTTACAGCTACCAAGTTACTACTCTGCAACAGCAACTTTCAGCGGCTGAAGATTAGTAGATAAAACCCTAATATATATAGGTACATAGTGCATCATGGTGAGGAGGAGGAGTTAGAGTAGCAGGGCTGCTGTAGTTCTGTATTTAGGAAGGTAATCAACGTTTCTTTGGATGTGCAGAATACCAGCATTACAAAAACAATGAAAGGTCCTGGCTCAATTGCGGTAGCTCTGCATAGAGAATGTCTGCAGCACTGCCCAGTACTTAATAAACTGGCATCTTGGGCGAATTAACTTCTCCACACCAAAGTTTCCCCATCTGTAAAGGGGGGAGAACTACGCATTCTTATAAAGCAGTTTCAGTTCCTCCATCTGCAAGTGTCAAGTATTATTGCAGGTTTCCATCAGAATGGAGAAGCTATTACACTCTCAAGCCTGTATTGCACCTGTCTGCTCACTATTTATTGGATAAGTGTAATAAAGTGAATACATTCACTGCTTATTTAGGAATTTTAGCTTCACAAGTTTATAAACAGATTCTGTGAAAAGTTGAGGGTTATTATAGCTGGACAGAGTTGTTTGTCATGCTTTCAAGCTACATTTTCAGCTGCTGTCCTGGTTACATAACTGCTTTCATTAGATCTTAAGAGTTTCCAGGTGGTTTTTCTCCAGTTATTAATTCAAGCATTTCATATGGACAAACATTTTCCCTAGTCAAGACACTTGCTGACCAAGACAGACAATGCAGTAAGCAATTCACACTAATATGAAATTTAGATTTATGTCTACTAGCTTCAGTAGTATTGGAAATCAGAATCAAAACGGTTGCTGTACTGGATTGTTCGGTGCCCATTGTTTGAAGAAGATTGGGACATTAAGAATGACAAGTCATGCATGCCAAGTTGGCTGTTTGCACAGAGACAGATCTTTGTCAATTTAAAAAGATTAAGGTTTCAAACTGATCAAAGTAATTAGTCTCAATGAGAGGCAAAGGCCTGAACAGTTGAGGGACTTAAGAACAAAGCTAAAGGAGTTAATGGGGAACAAATGTGACTTTACAATTTTTTTTGATTATTCCAACTCAAGAGAAACTGAAGCCTGCTGTCAACCATGCTCACATTCAGCCTGAAAAGATCTGACTGAAGTTGTCTAGCTGGAAAAGGAGAAGAGCGAGGGAAGGAAGAGGAGGGTGTTAAATAGTTTAACTGGCATGCTGCCATAGTTTGAAATATTTACTTCTGGTTCATTAGATCTGTAGCTGGTTTTCAAAGCAAAAAAAATGGCAAATGGCATATTTGCTGTGAGATGTGAGCCAGTTTTCCAAAATTTAAAAGTAGTTATGGATTTGGCCACGACTCACTGTTTGCACCGGAGTCCCATTTCTTGTGGTTTTTCACCAAGATTTTCCCTAAAGACTGCAAGGCTAGATCACAGGCACAAGGTGCGACTCTTGTCAGCCATACATTAGAGAACCCTCTAATGTATAATCCACAATGTACAGTGGCACAGTCAGTGCAGGAGATGTCACTCCCCACCCAGGCCAATAAAAGGAGTGCCATTTCATCACTTGCACCCACTTCCAGCACTAGTGCTAAGAACAACTTACGAGTGCTGCTCTTCTCAAGTCTGCTGCTCCAACCGATAGTTGGGAAAGTGGTGGGTTCTTGCCATGAGAAATCTGACAGCTGGTTCTCCAACAAGGGAGAAACACCTTTAAGAAAAGCTAGTTCCAACAACATCCAACCCCCATTTTCATCAGCAGCTTGATGTAACCTTAGAATGCCCCATCACTGCACTTCCCCACACCATGAGGAACTAAAGATAGTCACTGCCAGTTCCCTATGTGGAAGGAAGAGGACCACCCTCCCCATTCACTTCTAATGAGCTGGAAAGGCCAACCCCAGGGTCACTCTCGTCCATCAGCATGAAGAGGCCAAGGTCTTCTTTATTTTCTCCTCTTGGATCAGTTTTAGGCAGATGTCAGGAGCACGTCACTTATTTGGCCTCCAGCAGTGGCTCCTCAGTGAACAGTGAAGCTGAAAATCTGTTTTTAAATGAGAATTTGTGGCTTTTTGATATGCAGGTCAATGAGGTTATAGCAAGGTTAGGTGTATCATGCATTTTCCTGCTGTATGTCTGTGAAATTTAAGCAATTGAGATTTGTGTCAAATGCAATGGCTAGAAAATGATTTGCTTGAACTCAGAACAGCACCTCAACTGCACCTCTCAAGTCTGATACAACTAGAGATTATATTGGCAAACGGCTGAAAATGTTCAATTTATTGGACTTTATTTGGAATAAAACTATTTAAAAAAAGAGCATCAAACAGTAATTTTAAAATACAACTTTCTACTCTTCATATTCAGACATTTTAAAGAGAATCAGGACTTGTTTCTTTAAAATAGACGGGAAGAAATATTTTGAAAGAAATCAAGATGTAATTGAGTGGTATAACACTACCAACATTTCTGGCACTCTACTTCAGAAACCCTCTGTGATGGTACCTTGCCAGAAGGTACCTATACCCCCAGGATTCTGCTGGTTACTTTCCCATCCCATTGTTAATAGGCCATAAATATTTAATTAAATTCTCGTTAAGGTAATAAATACTTCATATCAAGTTATTGCATCTGCCTAGTTTGAGCTATACAAGGGGATTATGGAATTAATGTAATAATGCCACACAACTTTAGGAATACTGTCTATATTGAATAAAATAATTTTATTTTTTGTTTACAAAGGTTATGGAAGCTGACATCTACTTTCAACTGAGACCTAACATAGGGGTTTCTCTACCCAAACATGACGATCATTAAGAACTTTGTGAGGTTCAGTGCTATACTGTATGATAATATGTAAACAGATTTTGAAGACACTTCCCCCATTATAAACTTTGACACAGTATGCACAAATTTTAAAAAATAAAATACAAATGAAAACAAATTTGCCTCAAGGGATTTCTTAGAAGTACGAGCCATTTCAGGAGTCTGCAGTGGCAAACTTCTACACAACTGAAATTTCCTTTTATCCCAGTGAACAACTGGCTAAAGGCCATTCGCTAAAAAAGAGACGCCAGTAACATGGATTTGATTGTATGACTCCAGCACTTAAAAAGAGCACATTGGTTATACATGGCTTTTAACCCTGGGCTACAGTTATGCTACCAAACTAAGCTTGAGTCTAAATCAGTCATGTAGAGATGTGCACGTCATCTGAACACTGTTTAGAGTCCTTAGTTTTCCAGAGCTGATGGAGGTGCTGAAGGCGCTCAGAGGTTCTTGTGCTTACATTCAGGGCCGGGTGAACTTTGCAAATGCCCGATTCCTCCATTAACGACAGGCCACAGATCCCGAAGTATGCATGCAAAGCATCTGAAAACAAAATAGCAAGGGAGTTCGTTAAAATGTAAATGCTTCCTGGTGTATCATGCAGTAATAACCAACTGTTTCTGTGTTCCAAAACACCAACCAATTTTAAGCCAAGCACTGAAAGATAAATGGCAAACAGACGTTCCTAGTTATATTTGGCTTTTTCTAACTCCAAATATAAAATATAATAGTTAACCAAGCCCTACCACACACTGAGTATGAGGAGATGATCTGGAATTTCTGTCCTAAGACTAGACTCTAGGAAGCACAACTACTTTATTCAGTAAAGAGCTCTCCCACCTAGCTGATCACATATGAGAGGTCATGACAGAGATGTGGAAGAGCCTGAGAGAGTCAGGAGCTTATTTAAAGCATTCCCTCCCAGGCACTCTAAAAATATTTCCTTCTAACACAGGAGGATTTTTTTTTAGCATAGAGAAATTACTCCTATTACAGTAGCAGCAACCTCTGTAGATGAGGGCATAGATGATAGCTGACTGTTCATTAAAACAGCAAGCTGTATTTTGGTACTAGCAGCTATGAAAAGGCAGAATCTGGAAAGTTCAAGTACCACCATAAACACCTCTACCAGCCCATCCATGGGGATTTCTCGAATGCTGGGGAAGAAAGCTACCTCTTATATGGCACTCCCAACCATATCAAGGCTCCATAACCTTTTCAGTTTCATTGTCATTTCACAGTTACCAAACTGATCTTTTTCAAAAAGGTATCTGCACATACTCCAGCCAAATATCCAGAAAGCATCCTTATAAAGCATCGTTGCTGTGCACACAGAAACATGCTCACCACACACATCTCCTTCTGGGTGACCTCACTGAAAATGTGTCTGCCAGCAACAGCTCACCCATGGGAAAACTCCCCAAGCATGCTCACTGAAACCCTTTTACAGAGTACCACCCGACTGCCCATATATGGCAGATTTAACCCAGAGGCTCTGAAGTTGTGCAGGACAGTGCAGAATTTAATGCCAGCCAAAACATACTGACTGTGACAGAAAAAGCAGTGCACAGTTCAGGCTATTTGAAGTGATAATAAAAATCTCAAGGCGTTTGAAGGTCAGGTGTTGTGGAGACAAATATTTTGTGAATAAGACACACAGGCAGAAGACAACCATGGAACACAGCAACTGGATGAAGCAAGTATCATTTGCATGGCTTCCTTGCCAAATCTCAATTTAGGCTGTTGTACTCAAATACCTTTACATTTAATGTTTCCTGCATGTTTGTTTTCACATTATTCACTCTCCATGTTTTATCAAGCTAATTCTTTATTTCCCATTTTCCTTCTGCCTCACCTGTGCTCTCTGTATGCTTCGAGATCTTAGGGTTTTTTTTGTATTCTCCTCTGAAGCTTTAAACATAATGGGATTTACACACAAGTAGTGAGGGGGAAATGGATATTAATGGAATCATTCGTTTTTAATGAGACAGTTGTAAAAACAAAAACACAGATTTCTTATTGTTCTTGATACTTGTCGCTGAGCAGCAGCAGAATTAATGTGAGACAGGGGCAATCTTCTTAAATGCCTAACAATGTGAAAGCCTTTTAAACAAAGAAAAAAGTTGGCTTCTGTTTGCCGTATGTGAATACTAGGGAGAGTGTATGATTAATTAATGAATAGAACACAGGCCTATGAGTCAAGTGTTCCTGCGTTTTATTTCTGCAGTGACCCTGATTCACTGGACAAATCATTGTCTCAGTTTCCCCATCTGTAAAACAGGAATAACAATGCCACAAGGGTGTTGAAAGGCTTAATTTATTGTGCTCTGAAACAACGATAAAGATGTACTCTGCAATCCTGTATGCACATATCTGTCTAGATTACTCTCCTCAATTTCTGAGAATCAACTTGAAGTGTTTCAGCTACAGGTGTACTTTCAATGATTTTACACACACAGGGAATGATTTTACACACACAGGGAACAGGGTTTCTTATTTAACAGCCCAGGGATCAAGAGTTACACTAATCCAAACTTGCAGCTCTGCAGATCAAAACAGCACAAGGATAATGAACTGTATCTTTCCTGGCCCACACATCAACAGACTTGTTAAGTTCAGTTTGCAGGGCCACCAATGCAGTCCTCACTATCTTCAAATTCTGCTCTGTTACAATAAAAGCAACAGGGCTCTATAATTTCACTGACAGCATGCTTTGAATTGCAGATGTAAATGAGAACAAAATTAGGTTGGGAGAACCTTTACAACAGGAGAACATAGTCTGACTTTCAGATCCCAGGCTGATTTTGCAGGGACTGTCAACAGTTTAAAAAAAAAAAAAATCATTTAAACCGTGCACATTTGATACAGAAGCCATTGACTCGCAAATGTGGAATGTTATGCCATTTCTATAGTCAGTCTCCCTTTGGAGTAGAACTGCATTTTAATAAAGAAGGATAGTCTCTTTTCAACTATGCCTCTCTAGCTTTTCTTAAAAGCAGGAACATGAACTTGTCAGCAGCTACATGGAAAAAAAACAGCTGGGAAAAGGTATCACAGTAGACGTACACAGCAATTGTAATTTTGTGAAGTCTTAACATAGTTGATATTCAGCAGCAGCAAAAAAACAAAGAAAATATACTAATTTGTTATTAGGAGCTATCCAGGCTTTCGGGACGCTGCCAAGGTTAGTAGAGAGTTATATCAGTGATTTTTTTCCCCTAGATGCAGATCCTGCCAGAGTGATCCAGGATAAAACATTCATAATCCCTGCAGTTCTACATTCAACCTGCCTGTTCCATTTTTGTGGTAAGGAAGAATATTTAAGTTTATCACAAGCATGCTCTCAAAAAAGAGCAAATGTTACAGGCACACAGCAGACATGCTTTGCAGGAAGTACATAGTGAGTATATGCGTGCCCAATACAAAACCGAAGTAGGAAGGTTCATTTTTATCCAAATTTCAGTCTTGAGTCTTATCTTTAATACACACAGTTTTGTTGTTTAAAATATGTTTAAGAAACCTTTCATACAGTTGATCTTTTCAACAGGCTGCTTTCTTCTGGTGTATTAATAAAGCAAGATGTGCATGTAGATAAAGAAAAGTGGGATTTCAGTTGCCTTACAATGGTAAGGATTGATCAACAAGATGCAGCAGCAAATACAGCTACACCTCACAAGACTTCAGTGTCCAAAGAATGCTGCTTTTTCCTGTACAGTTTCGTCTGAACTCTTCCTTATTCAGCACAAAGTATCCTAGCTCTTCATGGAAAAAATTGGTTAGAGGATTTGCTTAAATGGCTCTTAATGCAACAGGAACACTCTGGAGCTCCTCTTATACCACGCTATAGGTCACTAAAATAATTAAACTAGCCAACTGGCTGGTAAAGCTGCATATGGGGGCTGGGATAGAAACAATGTCAAATCTTTTGCTTCCTAGACCAGAAGAGCTTGGGCACATCACAAGAATAATGCCATTTAGAAGGGAAGGAGGAGAAGAAAAATTAAGAGGTAACTGAGACTTAATGAAAATATTGAGGTGCTACAGCTGTTGTCTAGCCTGGGAAAAACCCCCAAACCCCTTCTTGCTGAAAGTAGTGTTCAGATAGCCTCAGGATTAGCAGGGTTACAGGATGAAGGAAAGATTGCTGAAAAGCCACAAGCACTGTTTGCCTTTCCAAGCACGAACAATGATGGGCCATGAGTTTTAGCCTTTAAAGTACAGATTTACTCTGAGGACCGTATGTAAAAGTAACATCTTACTCAATACAGCTGCTCTGTATGTGTATTCAATTATTTCTTCTAACTTGACTTTTTATTTCTATTAGCACTGCAGACCCAGTTACCAGACTAATACTTTACTAAGGCCTTGTCTATATACATAAATTATACCACTTTAATTACACCAGAATAGTTAAAGTGATACAAAGCGCCTAGCATGGACACAGTAAGGAGTACAAAGGTGCTCATACCAGTATAGCAATTCCTGTAGAGAAGGGGAATAAACTATGCTGGCATAAAGCACTTTTATACCAAATATAACAACTGTGTCCACACCATGGACTATACCAATTTAAGTATTTTGGCAGGGGGGAAGGGGTGAGGGGAAGAAAAAAAAAATCAACCCTCCCTACCCAATATATAGTTAAACTGGTATAAAGATTGCATATAGACAAGGCCTAGGTCTCCGTAAATTACATTTGTGCAAGCCCACGGAACATGAAAACCAATGGGACTGGCTCAGGTATAACTGGGGGCCTCATTTGAACTGCAGACTATTACTGGGGATCATGCACGAGAAGGAAAGAACTCATCTTGATCCCTGAAGACTTTCTGCAGGACTGGCAGTTATGTTGACACTAAACTGGGAGGAGTGGTAGATATTCTGGAGGGCAGGGATAGGATACAGAGGGATCTAGACAAATTAGAGGATTGGGCCAAAAGAAATCTGATGAGGTACAACAAGGACAGGTGCAGAGTCCTGCACTTAGGACGAAAGAATCCCATGCACTGCTGCAGACTAGGGACCGAATGGCTCGGCAGCAGTTCTGCAGAAAAGAACCTAGGGGTTAGAGTGGACGAGAAGCTGGATATGAGTCAGCAGTGTGCCCTTGTTGCCAAGAAGGCTAACAGCATTTTGGGGTGTATAAGTAGGAGCACTGCCAGCAGATCGAGGGATGTGATCATTCCCCTCTATTCAGCATTGGTGAGGCCTCATGTGGAGTACTGTGTCCAGTTTTGGGCCCCACCCTACAAGAAGGATGTGGGAAAACTGGAAAGAGTCCAGCAGAGGGCAACAAAAATGATTAGGAGGCTGGAGCACAATGACTTATGAGGAGAGGCTGAGGGAACTGGGATTATTTAGTCTGCAGAAGAGAAGAATGAGCGGGGATTTGATAGCTGAAAGGGGGTTCCAAAGAGGATGGATCTAGACTGTTCTCAGTGGTAGCAGGTGACAGAACAAGGTGTAATGGTTTCAAGTTGCAGTGGGGGAGGTTTAGGTTGGATATTAGGAAAAACTTTTTCAGTAGGAGGGTGGTGAAGCACTGGAATGGGTTACCTAGGGAGGTGGTGGAATCTCCTTCCTTTGAGGTTTTTAAGGTCAGGCTTGACAAAGCCCTGGCTAGGATGATTTAGTTGGGGATTGGTCCTGCTTTGAGCAGGGGGTTGGACTAGATGACCTCCTGAGGTCCCTGCTAACCCTGATATTCTATGATTCTATGTGCAAAGTGGGCTCATTTGATCTGGACACTGATATGATAAACAGACTCTCTCAATGCCATTATTATAAGAGTAGAACCACTTTTTCATATGTGCCCATAAATTAGCTCTACTAACTAAAATATAGCCCGGCTGAAATTTCTGTCACACGTGGATACTGAACAGTTGCTGCCTTTATTATGACTACATTTTATCTTCTTCTCGTGAGTTAGAGACGGTTTATCCTCTTTATCCTAAATGCTGCTACAAGAGTTATTACCAGTGCAAAGTTTGTTTTCACATTCTGCTACATCTCCATATTTTCAAATTATGTCCAAGATCTGATTACCCATTATTGAAATGCCACCAATTTTTAATATCTGGAACTGAGCTACCTCCTTCCTAAACTCAGATGAGCTCTAAAAACTACACATACAGGGGTTCTAGCTACTACACACATATCAAGCACATAATTAGGCATGAAAGGGGTTAATTTTTATTGATGTCAGTAAATGTCAATTTTACTGTACACACAAATCAATAAAAAAAATATTTTCATCTATAAATAACTGAAATTTACAGGTAGGCGAAGAAAGAAAAATACTGATTAAGTTTTATTTAACTCTCATCCACCTTCCTGGGATAATGGTGTACCCTGTGAGTTGTGATAGCTCACCAACTAGTAGCCCTCCAACTGTACTGGTTTTGGATCTTGTCACATGTACACAAGGTCAGGAAAAAAAAAAGACTTTAGTATGAAGAACATTTCTTTTATAGCAAAAATGTATATGGGATACAAATGTATCCCAATCATGTTGCACTGTTATCCTGTATTTTTAATAGTTGTGTACATGTTTGCATCTAGTGAGCATCTTGTATTGTAAGTGGAAACTACGTCTCCCTCACTAAGCAAGCAATGTGGAGAATGTAGTGAATTTGTATGTGGTAACCACTGCACATTGATGTTGATGTGCAATTGCACATAGGCTCACGCTGAACGAGACTCCTGCTAGTTTTTCCAATTTGCGAGTTAGAGTAAGTTTTTTTCTCCTAAAACATTGAAGAATTGTTCTTAGATTCCTAATGCATTTGGAATACAAAAACTTTCCTTATGACACAGTCAATGTAATTTTTTTCTTGACACTGCATGAAGATTAAGCATATTGACTTTTTATATGGACATGTGATGTTGACAATTTGTGTTTGAATGGTTATGAAGCTTTAACTTTTGGAATCTCAACCTTGCTCATTAAATATTGTCTTCCCCACTGCCTGAAACTCACTGCATAATTTCTTTCAACAGTGTACATTTAAATGGATAATAAAAATGTTTAAAAATAAATCTATTGTTATGAAAAGTAAAAACTGAATTCTGCAAGCCTACGAATAGATGAAAAGTTTTAGGTACCATTTGTACTTTCCTCTAAGCTTTTTGCATTAGCTTTTTCATTCGCAATATTGTCTGATGTGCTCTTAGTATGTTTATTAAAAAGAACAAGCTCTGGAATATTTGTAAATGGGCCCTTGATAAAGATACCCATTACACAATCTATGCTCTTTAGATAAAATTATTTTAAATACATGGAAATACTATTCAGATACTAAATAGTATGACCAGGTTGTTTGCTATTTTCTCTTTCAATAATGGGCAGTTCATTTGTGACATTTTAAAACAAGGAAAAGGGGCAGAGGGAGATGTATACTTTACATTATAAAAATATAGCTTTCCAATTATATGTTATGGCTTACTATTGCACATATTTCTGAGGGGGGGCAGAATTAAAAATATTCCTTTGTGTTAAAAATGAGCCACCTCTTGGACCACTGGAATACATTTTGCAACACAACACACATCAAGATTCTGAGAAATAAATTTACCTGGGTGGCTATCTGGCCACTTGGCAAATCCACCAACAAGACGATCTTGAGTTGACAAGATGTAATTTCTGTTTTTCTCAAAATTTGTATATTGGAATATTTTCAAGAGCTGGAAAAAAGTTACAGTGTTACAGAAATATCTATTAAAAGAGAAGCTTTACCATTTTATCAGCTATAAGTGGTGCATTGGTGCATAGTTATGGTAGGTTTTAGTAACCTGTCGTCTTGCAAGAAAGCAGCAGACATGTGTAGCCCAGTACATAAATGTACAGAGATCAAAATAGTTTAGTAATTCAAAGATCAAGCCTACTTGCACTGCCTATAACTAACTTGAGGAGAAAGAAAAGGAGTACTTGTGGCACCTTAGAGACTAACCAATTTATCTGAGCATGAGCTTTCGTGAGCTACAGCTCACTTCATCGGATGCAACGATGAAGTGAGCTGTAGCTCACGAAAGCTCATGCTCAAATAAATTGGTTAGTCTCTAAGGTGCCACATGTACTCCTTTTCTTTTTGCGAATACAGACTAACAAGGCTGTTACTCTGTAACTTGAGGAGATGAAGGTTGGTTAACCAAGTCAAACAGGTTAATATAATTGCTACAATATATGTATTACCTTAAGTGTTGCTCCTACCCAAAATGAGTAGCAGGTGTCTACAGGTTTGTTGGGACGTCCATGATAGCCATTCTGTTGTCTCATTATGCACCATCTCTTTATTCTGTTCAGTTCTTTCTCTGAAAATACTTCCTCCAATTTACCCATCAAGCACAGTGAGGCAATACCACAGAACGTGGAGCCACCTGTAAGAAATAATTCTGTTTCTGCAACATTTTTTCATTGAAGTTAAAACTTCTGATTAAGATAAGACAAGATACCAAGTAGTAGTACAAAATATCAAACAGAGTTGTGTAAAGGAGTTCAGAAAGGTCTGAAGTCTAAAATCCAGACAAATAAGGTGATCCTTAATCCAACACAGAGGTCAAAGTATTACACATACTATTACAAATGGAATTTGGTGGGCCTCAGTGCTGCCTCATTATGTAAATGCTCTCGCTCATTTGCCCACCGCCATGGCACCACCACTACTCACTGCTGCAGACTGGTTTCCATACGTAACATTACACAAACAAGCTAATGGGAAGCAGGAATCTGAAGCAGTGGTGTCACATTTAAAGAGGCAGGCTGAGCAAATGAGCGAGCCACATCATTCCAGTACAAGAAAAAAGGCTTCAGTCAAAATACAACAAATTTTCCCATGCCTGATTAGATTTACTTTAGGAGTGATATGGTGGAAGTTTCTCTCCCCTTCAAAGAGGGAGGGGAAGAAAGTTCCTTAACCCCTCCCAACCTTTAATTCCTACAGAACATTTACTATAGCGGTTTTCTTCCTGCTGCTGCTCCAACTTGGAGATTTATTGGTTTCAGGCCCGTAAACAGCTGGCTGCTGAACCACCTCATTCACCCACCCTTCCTCATCCCAAATTCCTACGTTTCATCTACAATCCAATTGCCAGTCCTAACAGAACAAGGCTAGACACTCCCTCTGAAGCTAATCAATGCTGATGAATCACCCAGATGAGTTGCTGCAGTTACACAATTACATAAATGTCCTTGTTAAAATGTCTCCCGTATCAGTTCAGTGACCCCACAATTGTAATGGGCTAAAAGCATAGCAGTAAAGGTAGGCCTGTTATAAATGGCTCTCAGCACTTGCCTATTAAGCAGATACTAGTTCTAGGTTTCCTAGAATGGAGACACTCAGAATTGGACAAACTAGACATCTCCCAATCAGGCTACTAATCTATGAGTACAGAATATAATCTGCAGATAATTTAGTGTATTTTGTTGGCTTAGAGACTGAGCCAGTTACACGCTACTGGCAGTTCTGCACTCTTCCCATTCCCAGCTTCCACACTGCTACACATTATAGAAGCCCCTGCAAAATGCACTGTAACAGAGGTTCTTAAATTTCAGTGGTCCAGTAGGAACTGGTTGTTCACTCCACTTATTGAACTGCAGTGAGAGCAAACATACCCACACTATATATATATCCCTAAAATCACTTTTCTATATAAGCAGTTACTGTGGGTGCCATGGGGACTTTCTGTGAAAACAGGAGGGGAGGTGGCAATAAGAAAAACCTATGTTAAGATGTGGTCCACACTATGAAAAAGTTTGAGGACCCGTGTTATAACAGCAAAGTGCTAGCACTACAATACTCAAATTGTGACTTTTACATTAAAGTGAGGTTGAAGAGAAATCTGGAACCAGAAGGGAAATCCCAGATAGCTTGGAAGTCATAAAGAAACTAACTCAGCTGGCAAGATTTTCTGAAACATAGATCAGGGGTTCTCAAACCAGGGGTCATGACCCCTCAGGGGGTTGTGAGGTATCAGCCTCCACCCCAAATCCCGCTTTACCCCCAGCATTTATAATGGTGTTATAAATTAAAAACACCTTTAAAAATATATTTAAGGGGGGAGGGGTTGCACTCAGAGGTTTGCTGTGTGAAAGGGGGGGTCACCAGTACAAAACTTTAAGAACCACTCATGTAGATAAAACAGTGGTGAATTACCTCCAAGAATTCCATCTATTCCTTGTAATTAGATATGGACTCTGTGCCACAGCCTCTGCATAGAGCAGGGGTCGGCAACCTGTCAGAAGTGGTGTGCCGAGTCTTCATTTATTCACCTTAATTTAAGGTTTTGCGTACCAGTAATACATTTTAACGTTTTTAGAAGGTCTCACGCTATAAGTCTATATATTATATAACTAAACTATTGTCGTATGTAAACAAGGTTTTCAAAATGTTTAAGAAGCTTCATTTAAAATTAAATTAACATGCTGATCTTACACTGCCGGCCTGGGGTTCCATTCACCTAGGCTAGCAGTGGGCTGAGCAGGGCCCCGCTCAGCCAGGGTCCCGTCCGCCGGCCCCGCTCAACCTGCTGCCGGTCTGGGGTCCTGGCCCTGTCCACAGAGAGTAGGTACCTACCTTCTCCCTGGTTCTAGCCACTCTCTTCCTCTCTCTGCACTGACATGAGGGTGGGAGTGCACTGAGAACAGGGCTGGGGGTGAAGGAGCAGGCTGGGGGTTGGGGTGCAGGGTCTGGCCAGGAGCTAGAATGAGGGAGGGGGCTCAGGGTTGGGGCAGGAGGTTTGGGTGTGGAGTGCTTACCTGGGCAGCTCCCATTTGGTGAGAGGGGTGCTGGTGGGAGTGTGTGAGGGAGTTTGGGGGAGTGGGGGATGCAGGAGTTCCGGTTTGGTGCTCAGGGTGGGGGTGAGGATGTGGGGGGGCGCAAGAGTTAGGGCATGGAGTGTGGGGGGCTGGGTATGTGTGGGGGGTGCAGGAGTCACAGCAGGGGGCTGGGTTTGTGTGTGTGGGATGCTGGAGTTAAGGCTGCAGTCGTGGGTGGGTGCGGTCCCAGACCCCTGCCCTGAGCGGCTCATGGCAGGGGACTGGAGGGGATGTGCCGATTCCACCCCCTCCCCAGGGTCCCCAGAGCAGAGAGTGCGCTGCGGCTCCGCTTTTCCCTCCCTCCGTAGCAAGGGCTGCCACCTGATCGGCCGCAGGGAGGGAGAGGAAAAGGGGCAGGAACCCAGCACGCTGGGGGAAGAGGCGGAAGCTTGCTTGTTCTGCAAGGAGAGAGCGGTGGGCGGAGAAGAGCGGGCTGGGCCGGACTTTTAATGGCATGCTGCCGGGGTCCCCTGCAGACAGCAGCGTGCCATTAAAAATTGGCTTGCGTGCTGTCTGACACGTGTGCCATAGGTTGCCGACCCCTGGAATACTCCCCTCCCCCCCCAAAAAAAAGCGGGCTGAGGAAGAACCTGAGTAAGCTGTAGATACAATAAGACATAGGGCCTGAGTCTCATTTAGACTAAGATCCCTTTACACCACTGGAAGCGTTAAGACGCTTTGAAGTTGGTGCAGTGAGAATCAGGCCCATGGACTTTCATCCTAACCATTCCCATGGAGAAGAGACACCAAAGTAACAAAATGGGATAGAATGCTAAAAGACCATGGATAAGTTACTAAAATGAACGTATTTAAATATGGATTCTTTTTCTGATAAGTTTGTTTTCAACTTCAACATACCATGGAAAAACATGGATGCAATTACGTAAAAACCCGTGGTAAGATTATTACCGACTAGCATTTAGTAGGCTTCAGATAAACATAACAAAGTCTCAAAATCAGGGATGGTCCAACTGCTCCAGGGTGTGCCTACCTTCCTCAGCACTGTCTGTTGCTGCAAAGGGATAAATGGAACGTTTGTGCTCCAGAAAAGCACCAAGTTAAAAATTCTTGACTTGAGTCACAATTTGCTTTTTTAATAAAAATTAACTGTAGTTTTAAAATTCAGCCCCAAGCAGACTCTGTGATTCAACACAGGAAATGATTATAGAATACATCCACAGCTGGCAGAACTGGGGTGTATCATCAGGAAGGAGTGCTGCAACAATTGTCCCACAAAAAGAAAAAGGAGTACTTGTGGCACCTTAGAGACTAACCAACTTATTTGAGCATAAGCTTTCGTGAGCTACAGCTCACTTCATCGGATGCATACTGTGGAAAATACAGTGAGGAGATTTATATACACACAGACCATGAAAAAATGGGTGTTTATCATACACATTGTAAGGAGCGTGATCACTTAAGATGAGCTATTACGAGCAGGAGAGTGGGGTGTGGGGACAGAACCTTTTGAAGCGATAATCAAGGTGGGCCATTTCCAGCACATTTCCAGGAGTTAACAAGAACCTCTGAGGAACAGTGGCGGGGTGGGGGGATAAACATGGGGAAATAGTTTTACTTTGTATGATGACTCAACCACTCCCAGTCTCTATTCAAGCCTAAGTTAATTGGATCCAATTTGCAAATTAATTCCAATTCAGCAGTCTCTCGTTGGAGTCTGTTTTCAAAGTTTTTTTTGTTGAATAGTCACTTTTAGATCAGCAATCGAGTGACCAAAGAGACTGAAGTGTTCTCCGACTGGTTTATGAATGTTATAATTCTTAACATCTGATTTGTGTCCATTTATTCCTTTACGTTCATAAACTAGTCGGAGAACACTTCAACCTCTCTGGTCACTCGATTGCTGATCTAAAAGTGACTATTCTTCAACAAAAAAACACTTTGAAAACAGACTCCAACGAGAGACTGCTGAATTGGAATTAATTTGCAAATTGGATACGATTAACTTAGGCTTGAATAGAGACTGAGAGTGGTTGAGTCATCATACAAAGTAAAACTATTTCCCCATGTTTATCCCCCCACCCCGCCACTGTTCCTCAGAGGTTCTTGTTAACTCCTGGAAATGTGCTGGAAATGGCCCACCTTGATTATCACTTCAAAAGGTTCTCTCCCCACACCCCACTCTCCTGCTGGTAATAGCTCATCTTAAGTGATCACGCTCCTTACAATGTGTATGATAAACACCCATTTTTTCATGGTCTGTGTGTATATAAATCTCCTCACTGCATTTTCCACTTTATGCATCCGATGAAGTGAGCTGTAGCTCACGAAAGCTTATGCTCAAATAAGTTGGTTAGTCTCTAAGGTGCCACAAGTCCTCCTTTTCTTTTTGCGAATACAGACTAACACGGCTGCTACTCTGAAACCTAATTGTCCCATAGTGAGGAATGAGAACAGAGAGGGAGGAGACTGGAGAGTTGCTGAGGTAAGAATACTGGAGTAAGAAAATTCTTAGGACCCCCATTTGGTCTAGTGTTGGGGATGGAGCCAGTCATGGCAAGGAAAGAAGCCCACATGTTCTGGGAGAACCTTTTCATTGCTTTCTCTTCACCCCACTTCTCTGAAAACCCGAAATACCAACAAGGGAGGAAAGGCATGCATGCTGAATCCCCAGCAATGTTTTGAGAAGCTTCATTTAATTGCTAAGGTTTTTAAGAATGGAGAAAAATTAAGGCTCTTACCATGAGATTCAAGTCCAGCTCCCTGTGCCAGCCCATTATCATAAGACTGAAAAAGAAAAAGCCATTTCAGAAATAGATTGTTCATACATGTATTTTGATTATGTAATTTCTCATTTTATTAGCAAGACCTGCATCACAAACCACACCAACATCTATTTTAATTAGTTTTAACTGGCCAATAGCTTTTCAAAGGCATACACTGTGCATCAAAAGTTATCAGCATCACATTGACCTGTCAGCAAAGCAGCACAGTTTGAACACATGCAGTTTTTAATAAGCATTTTCTTTAAAAAAAAATAAAAAATTAAAGTTTGTTTCAAAGATTATATGCTAAAATGCTAAAGTTAAGGTTCTAGAATTATGCAGTATTACGGTACCAAGTCAAGTGGCAAGGAAAAGCCACTTCTGTGGAGGTTTTAAAATACATTCTGCAGGAGCTGTGTCCCCCTTAAGGAGCCAAAGCATCTGCAAAACGCTAGACAAGATAAGAGTCTATCCTATTTGTCTATGTATGTTCCCAAATCAAGAGTCATTTAGTGCACAAGAATGTAACAGTCAGGCCACTAGTACATGTAAGCAGCACAGTGCTTAAATACAATACATTCTGCAGTGAAGACAAAGGCCTTATGTGCTAAACTGCAACAACAATCTACACTTGTTGGGAAAGGAAAGAATGGGAAAGCATCAGCATTCTGCTGAACAAACTGATATTCTATAAAATATCACCTTTAAAAAATAGTTTCTTCATTCTGATTTAAGCCTTTTAAAGCAAAGAGTAAAGGGCTGATGTTCCATCCCGGGCTCGCTCCATTGCCCTAGAAATTCCAATTCACATGATCCTGTATCAGTGGATGTCTGTGCAGTGGGTGTTACTTACCCGTTGTGACACAATACTGAAGCAAGTTAAAGAATGACAATAGTATATACTGCAATGCTCTTTGGTTTGTGGGATTTTTAACTCAAATTTGTTTTATTTTAGTAGCAGTTAGTACTTCAGTATAATCCCCCAAATAATTTAGTTAACGAAATTAAGGTTGCTAGAGCATAACCCATTACCAGAGACCTAGGAAAAAATCAGCTAAGGGTATGGCTGCACTGCAATTAAACATCCACAGCTGTCCTGTGCCAGCTGACTCGGGCTCGCAGAGCTCAGGATAAGGGGCTGTTTAACTGTAGTCGAGACATTTGGGCTAGGCTCAAGCCTGAGCTGTGGGACTCTCCCCCCTTACAGTGTCCCAGAGCCCGGCTCAAGCCTGAATTTGCACCTCAGTAAAACAGCCCCCTAACCCAAGCCTGAGTCAGCTGACACAGGCCAGCAAAAGGTTTTTAATTGCCGTGTAGACATGAGTCATTTACTCCTCCTGCCTGCACTCCCACTCATCAGTTCCCCTTCTTGTCCTGAATTCCCTTGCACCCAAGCCACAGTCCAGACATCTCCATCTTCATTCTGCATGTAACAGAGACAACATGGGGGGGAAGCAATATATGGGTAGGGCATGAGAGACTTGAGTTGTGAGAGGGACTGGGGGGGGGGGGGGGGGCAGGGATTGATCCGGGGGCAAGCAGTACCTTGACAAACCAACCATATGTCAAGAAACTGCAGAGTCTGGGACTGTTTAGAGGAAACCAGTAAGAGGAGACATGGCTGATGTATAAACAAAACAACAAATAATACAGAGAAGTTAGATACAGCAACCTTATTAAGCCTTCCCATGCTACAAGAAAAAAAGACAGTCAATTAAACTGAGTGGCAACACTATTTCAATGGATAACATGAAAAATGTTCACAGAAATGCTTAAACCACCTGTGGAACTCTATCATTAGATACTAAGTGCTTAAAGTAGGATTCAAAAAAAAGGAGTCAATATTTATACTGAATATCCAAAGTTTGTGTGCGCGCATGCACATACGAAAATAAAGGCTATATATAGAGCCTCATACTTCAGAGAATAAATTAAATCACTAGCAGAATTAGGAAGCAAACTACCCTTTGGCTAGGTTATTCTATAACTGTCAACTATGGACAGGTTATTCCATAATTGTTGACCAGGGGTTTCTTATATCTTCCTCTGACGCAGCTAGTAGGGGCCGCCATCAGAGATGGGATATTGACAAGTCAGACCACTGGTCCGATTTCCATGTTCCTACTTCTAGGAAAATGGTAGGTGCCCAGCACTTCAAGATCACACGATTTCACCTTCAAGCAGTGACATAGTCTTTATCACAGAGAACACATTAGCGGTTTTCTGCTTTCATATTAAAAACTGTAATATTCCTCACTGGACATATATTCTAACCAGTGTCTTTTTTTGGAGTGGTGATGACTAAAAAGGATGAATTCTGAAAGTTCACATCTGACAAACTTTAAGCAGGAGCATGGAAAAGTTGATTCTAAGCAACTGCTATGAACATTTGAAGACTGAGCATAGGCAGCACAAAGTTCCCTTAAGCCATTATCAGTGCATTTTGAGCATGCAGTCCCCTATGTGCTACCAAGCATCAAAGGCCCATTAACTGCTGAGCAATGGGAAGCTGATTAGCACTGGAGGAAAGAAGAGCTAGGCTGGTGAAGCTAGTTAACTCTATAAACTGAATAATTGTAAAATAAGGTGGTGTGCTTTATGTACTGCAAAATAATCAGCTCTGGGGAAAAGTTAAGTGTGCAACCCAAGAAGTGCATTATGTTCAGCTGCATAATTAGCCTGAAATTTTAACAGACACAGGCACTAGTTGCTTTTTGAGAATTTGATCCTGTTAGACAAAAATTCCCCATTAATTTAATTTTCTACTTTTTTATTTTAAAAAGGATAATGAAAAGAATTCATCATTGCTGCAGTACAAAAGTTGAATAATTAAATCCTATCCAAATCAGGAAATGTGTAAATCAATTAAGCACAATCTTAACTCCAGCCCCCTGCCATTTGCATCACAGTCAATCTGTAGAGATATCATAATCAAAGTAGTTAATTTGTCTCTCTACTCTAAAGGGTGACTAAAAATGGCATTTTTTATCTTTATTGCATCAGTGATTCCAAATCACCCCTGTTCAATTCACTAAATTTTCCCCCACTATCAGGGTCACAAACTCACCCCTGAATATGAAAGTCAAAATGGACTTTACACATCAATAAAAATTCTGCAGTCCGAACTTGATAGTTCTACTGATGAGGGAAAGCTGAACAAACAGGTTCCAAACAGGAATAAAAAACCCACTTATTGCCATCAGTAAAGGCAGTAGATACAACAACGAATACACACAGAGAGCTATTATCTATAAAGATGCAATGTTTAGACAGTTACAATATTGAAGTGTAGTTCGTCTGAAAGGTATGTTCAATCTTAAAACTTTTGCCTTTCCTGATGTGCTTAATTCTACAATTCAAGTTGCAGTAGCAATTTTTGGAGTTAAAGTTTGTGTCTCAATTCTGACACAACAGGAAATTTTAGAATTAGAATTTAGGAGTTCAGTTACAAATATCTATTACAGCTAATCAATCTCGCTGCTACTTAAAGTTATTTGTACCTCAGTTGCATTTCACAATTTGCATTACTAAAAAAAATAAATTCATAAACTATGACTTGCACTCAGATATATAAAGAGGCCTCATGTACTTGCAAATGGTGACATAAGATATGGTGAAACAAAACCACATCTTTGTATGACAGCAGTTCACTAATGATGCCATCTATTTTGCCTTGTAATTAGTGGACTATCAAAACAAGATACTATTGTAGAAAAATAACAGAGCTAAGCATTCGCAAGGAAAAAAACAAAAACAAGGATATATGTAGCTTGCATTATAATTAGATAGAGTATTACACTGAAATAAAATTAACTTCAAAAATAAATTTCATAGCTACATCTGAATATAAAATATTTTTATTTTAGGTTATTTACAGCATCCTCAGAATTTAATAGCAACGTTGCAGATTTTCTTTCACAGATTCTACACTTCCTGCATTATCGACTGATTTAACTGTGGCTATTATATTTGTTTATTAAACATACAGGAAGACTTGTTTATATGGTGGGGAAAAAATGGATCATCCTGGCAGCCTATACAATACCACACACAGCAGTCTCAGTATAATAGCAGGTTTCAGAGTAACAGCCGTGTTAGTCTGTATTCGCAAAAAGAAAAGGAGTACTTGTGGCACCTTAGAGACTAACCAATTTATTTGAGCATAAGCTTTCGTGAGCTACAACTCACTTCATCGGATGCATACTGTGGAAAATACAGAAGATGTTCTTATACATACAAACCATGAAAAAATGGGTGTTTACCACTACAAAAGGTTTTCTCTCCCCCCACCCCACTCTCCTGCTGGTAATAGCTTATCTAAAGTAATCACTCTCCTTACAATGTGTATGATAATCAAGGTGGGCCATTTCCAGCACAAATCCAGGGTTTAACAAGAACGTCTGAGGAACGAGTGTGTGTGTGTGTGTGTGTGTGGGGGGGGGTTAAATGCGCAGGTGAACGAGCCTCTGACAGTAGGCTCGTTCACCTGCGCATCTACCAATGTGATATATGCCATCATGTGCAAGCAATGCCCCTCTGCCATGTACATTGGTCAAACTGGACAGTCTCTACGTAAAAGAATAAATGGACACAAATCAGATGTCAAGAATTATAACATTCATAAACCAGTCGGAGAACACTTCAATCTCTCTGGTCACGCGATTACAGACATGAAAGTTGCGATACTACAACAGAAAAACTTCAAAACCAGACTCCAGCGAGAGACTGTTGAATTGGAATTCATTTGCAAATTGGATACAATTAACTTAGGCTTGAATAGAGACTGGGAGTAACTAAGTCATTATGCAAGGTAACCTATTTCCCCTTGTTTTTTCCTACCCTAGCCCTCCACCCCCGGTTCCTCAGACGTTCTTGTTAAACCCTGGATTTGGGCTGGAAATGGCCCACCTTGATTATCATACACATTGTAAGGAGAGTGATCACTTTAGATAAGCTATTACCAGCAGGAGAGTGGGGTGGGGGGAGAGAAAACCTTTTGTAGTGGGAAACACCCATTTTTTCATGGTTTGTATGTATAGGAACATCTTCTGTATTTTCCACAGTATGCATCTGATGAAGTGAACTGTAGCTCACGAAAGCTTATGCTAGTATAATAGCAGTGGTTAATTTTATTTTTCCTTTCTGATATAAAGCATTGGTTTCTAGCTCTCCTGGTTCTTGAAATACTGGCTGCTAAAACCAGATCATAATTCAAGTGTGGGCGAAGCAAAAGTGTAATCAGGAAGACGTGCTCTTCAGGTTCCATATTTTGCAATCTGTTAGGATTAGAAAAGCGCACTCAAAAAGTCTAGGTTCCTAACTGTGTAAGTAAATGTGCCTAGCCCTGATAGTGACGCTTGAACTCACCTATACCAGGCCTGTACTGGGGTCATACCACCTAGCTGTGGTTTTCGGACACTAGCCCAGAATTAAATATAGATGGCCAGGGAGCAGACACTGCTGGCAAGTAACTTGCTGGGGATTCCCCTGACAGAAAAGAGTCCCCAGTAAGCATAGAGCTAGTAGAGTCTGTTCCTATAGCTTCCTATAGTCAAGTATCAGGAGGTAGCTGTGTTAGTCTGTATCCACAAAAACAACAAGGAGTCTGGTGGCAGCTCAAAGACTAACTGATTTATTTGGGCATAAGCTCTGGGGGGGTAAAAAACACAAATCGGACATCAGGAATGGTAACATACAAAAGCCAGTAAGAGAACATGTAAATCTTCCTGGACATTCTAACAACAGATTTAAAAGTAGCCCTACTTGAACAAAAAACCTTCAGAAACAGACTTCAAAGAGAAACTGCAGAACTAAAATTCATTTGCCAATTTAACACCATTAATTTGGGCTTGAGTAGGGACTGGGAGCGGCTGGCTCACTACAAAAGCAACATTCCCGCTCCTGGAATTGACACTTCCTCATCAATTATTGGGAGTGGACTACATTCACCCTGATTGAATTGGCCCTGTCAACACTGGTTCTCCACTTGTGAGGTAACACCCTTCTCTTCATGTGTCAGTATAATAATGCCTGCATCTGTAATTTTCACTCCATGCATCTGAAGTGGGTTTTTTACCCACAAAAGCTTATGCCCAAATAAATCTGTTAGTCTTTAAGGTGCCACCAGACTCCTTGTTATTATTTGTATTACCATAAAGCCAAGGAGCCTTAGTTATCAAATAGGATCCCATTGTGCAAGGTGCTTTACAAACACAGAACAAAGATGGTCCCTGCCCCAAAAAAGCTCACAATCGAAGACAAATGACAACAGATGCGTACGCAGGCAGATGGGGGAAATACAAGGAAACAATGAGACAATATTGATCAGCATGACAGGCAGTGGTCTCAGCACACCAGTGGCCTAACCACTGCCAAGCTTTTTATAGAGGGAAAAGGAGAGTTTTAAAGAAGAGAATGCGTAATTTTGCAGATGTTTACTGGGAGCTCCTCCCAAGTGTGAGGGGCAGCCTGGGAGAAAGCACAAAGCTATGCATTTGAAAATTTAACAAGTGGGCAATTGAGGCTTGTATCACAGGCTGATCAGAGGCAGGAGTCAATATCTTCATTGAGGATGACAAGACAAGACGTGGATAAAACATGAAGGGCCTTCAAATGAAGACAAATAGCTTATGTTTGAGGTGATAGTGGAGGGATGTAAAGAGGAATGACATGGTTAAAGCGACAGGCTAGGAAAATCATATTTGCAGCTCCATTCTGAATGGATAAGTGAGGTAAGACTGCATAGTTAAGGCCAGCGAGAAGGATACTGCAGTAAATTGAGATGGGAACCTGGATCAGAGCTGTAGCTGTGTGGATGGATAGGAAAAGCTGTATCTTAGAGATGTTGTGCAGAAAGAATCTGCATAATTCAGACGTAGTCCAGATGTGAGGGCTTTGAAAGAGGTCCAAGCTGAAGATGACACCCAGGTTATGGGCCTAAGTGACAAGCAGGCTGGTGCTGTTGCCCACAGTTATTGACAAAGGAGTAGTGGGGGGAGGGTAGTAGTGGTGGTGAGGAGATTAAGAGCTCTGTTTTAGCCATGTTGAGTTTGAGCTGACAGACATCCACAAGGAGATAGACAGACCAACCAAGATTTCAGTTTGGACAGAAGGAGACAGGTCTGGAGGAAGAGAAAATACAGACAATAGCTGAACGGGAGTTTGCAGACTATAATAATCCAGAGGTAAGGTGCAGAGAGGGAACGGGACCAAGGACAGAGGCCTGTGGAAACTCTTCAGAAAGCAGGAGGTGTGGGGGGGTGTGAAGGGACGAGGAGAATCCTCCAAAGGTCATGCTGAAGAAGCAATGACAGCAGTAGAAGACAAGGAGAGGAGAGTCACGGAAGCCCAGAGAAGACAAGATTTCAAGACGGGTATGGACAACTGTGACAAAAGCAACTGACAAGTCCAGGAGGATGAGGCTGGAGTACTGGTTCTAAGTTCTCAGTCATTTACAAATTACACTGAGCAGTGTATAGCTACAGTAAGGCTTATATGTAAGCCTTATATGTATTATAAGTAAGGCAGGTGGGCGTGTGAGAAGGGGGTGCAGGAACTCCCATTTGGTGCTCAGGGTGGGAGTGGGGATGTGGAGGGTGCAAGAGTCAGGGCAGGTGGCTTGGGGGGCTGGGTATGTGTCGGGGGATGCTGGAGTCAGGGCTGGGGTTGTGGGAGGGTGCAGGGGTCAGGGCAGAGGGCTGAGGGTGTGGCTGGAGTCATGGGGGTGGTCCCAGCCCCCTGCCCTGAGTGGCTCACGGCAGGGGGCTGGAGGGGACATGCCCTGATTCCATCCACTTCCCCAAGGTCCCTGGAGCAGAGAGCGCGCTGCAGCTCTGCTTTTACCTCTCCCCATCTCTAGCAAAGGCTGTCAGCTGATTGGCCGCAGGGAGGTAGAGAAGGAGGGGCAGGAACCCAGAACGCTGGGGGAAGAGGGAAGCGGAAAGTTTGCCTGCCCTGCAAGGAGAGAGCAGTGGCTGGGGGGCGGAAAAGAGCGGGCTGTGCTGGGCTGGATTTTTAGTGGCACGCCGCTGTCTGCCTAGGTCCGGCAGACAGCAGCATGCCATTAAAAATTGGCTCGCATGCCGTCTTTGGCACGTGTGCCATAGGTTGCCGACCCCTGTCCTAGACCATTCTGATAGAAGCAACTCAAGCAATCACCATTACTCTACAGCTAATTTGCATGCAACAGTTTCACTGATGGAATGTGGTAGAATGCACAGACGGTGGCTTACCTGGCCCAACGGCCACACCTATGTGACAGCATAGGCTTTCAGCTACTAGTTTTATACTATTTATAAAAAGAAAATAGGAAATGGAGGACTGCCTATTTTTCATCTGGGTGAATGTTACGAGCTGGGAACGTTCATCTTCAGTGTCTATACTATAAATCCTACCATGCTGAGGGACCTACTGATTGCAACATGGCAGCAGAGAGCAACAGAGAACTGAAGTCTGTCTTGCAGTACAGGAGACATGGAATGATGTTTTAACTATGATCTAGACTTTGGAACAGCCCTGCTCCAAGGCTGTTGCAGTCTAGAAACATGGTTACATGTTATTCTGTCCAGTCTATTCAGGAAGATCAAACCACATGTTAACTGCATCAGGGAGACTACACTGGATCCTCCAAAGTTTGTGCTTTTTACACATTTATAATACTACTGTACCACTCCTCTTTCAACTCAGTATACCAGGAAAAACAAAGGACTATATGAAAGGTTATGGCTTATATTTAGTAGTGCTGGTGACTGCTTTAGCCACATGCTGCAGCACGCAGAAAACCTACAGTCTTAAGATTTGAAGAATATCATTTTTTCAAAAAACACTTATAAAAACTCACCATACTTCTTCTTATATATTCTATCGCTTTCTTCAGATCCATGCCTGACCAGTTGTTCAGCATGTAGCAGATACAGGAAGCACAGTATACAAATCTCATGTCATTCTCACTACCTTCAAGCACAGCACAGAAACTAAAAGAAATACAGATTTCTCTCATTATGCATTGCAAGGGCTATCACATTATGAACATAAAGACAGGTTTCAGAGTAACAGCCGTGTTAGTCTGTATTTACAAAAAGAAAAGGAGTACTTTTGGCACCTTAGAGACTAACCAATTTGAGCATAAGCCTTCGTGAGCTACAGCTCACTGCATCCGATGAAGTGAGCTGTAGCTCACGAAAGCTTATGCTCAAATAAATTGGTTAATCTCTAAAGGTGCCACAAGTACTCCTTTTCTTTTTATGAACATAAAAAACCCCACACCTAGGCTTCTTTATCATATACTTCTCCTCTCAAGAGGAAGTTCCTTAAATATTTCAAACTGTACTCTTCAGAAGGACAATACTATGTCCCTACTTGGAAGGGCAACTAAGTCAACCATGTATTTAAGTTTACTGAATATTCTTTTTTGGTGGTGTGTTAACAAGTGAAGTAAGGTGATATGAACCATCGACATTTAGTGGCTCAGGCAATTTTATTTAGACAGCGTCAGGGTATATGTATTAATATTTTAGTATCTGCATTCTTCGCTCTGTTATATTCCACTGTTACTGATGAGTTACCATCATTACACCCCCCATTTCTCTTTGCCTCTTAATTCCTCCCTAGCAATCTTGGTGCTCATTTTGGTAAGGCATGGCCCTGGTTATTTAACTCCTTTTTAATTACATCATGGAACAGATTCCAAGAATGAACATATTTAATTGGTATTAGGACTGTATATATTGTGGTGTTGTTGTCATTCATGTTCCAGTGTTCTTGTTTTTATTAAATTTTTCATTAGTCTTTTTACAATCTGAGAATATTTTAAGACTATTAGTTAGCTTGCCCTGATCAGGCTCTAGCCTTGGATTTTGTGCTTTCACAACCTCAAAAAACCTCAAAACAAGATTATTGCAACGCTTTGTTTGCATTGGGCCATACTACAAGAGGACTGTGTCCAGCTGAGGTGCAAATCAACGTCTGCATGCACACTGGGCTATTCACGTGCCTAACAAATGCACACTTGCAATTTCTTGACACAAACGTCCGAGAATTTGGTCCATTAAATATCAGTCAGTTGCTCTAGATAATAGGTCCAATTCTGGAAATATCACATACTGTTGCATACACCCCCTTAAATTTGGAATTTTCAGTTTATGAAAGAAATTTAGCGTTGTGTTCTAATAATTTTGAGTTCTTGAAAATGGTTTAACTTTGTAGAGCCCTATCATGTGATAGCCATGCAAGTCTCACCTGACTCGTAAGTTAAAAATAAATTAAGCCAACACTTCTATTTTAATTAGCACTGCTGTCTCAGTTTAATAATGAAATGGATCAGAATCCCTTCAGAAATAACACCATTACACCCTACTCTTCATTATATGCTATAAGATGTTATCTGTTAAAAATTTAACTACCCACACAGAATGTGTGACCTAAAACAAGGACTTTTCATTAGCTATAAACCCAACCTAAATTGCTAGACATTTTTTAACTTAATTTTTTCTAAGTCAAGGGATCCATGTTTTACAAATGTCTATCAGATGTGTGGATCTGAGACATTTATAATAGCAGTGCAATTTATTTTAATAAGTAAAATGTAGGCTAATTAATGTCTTTACGCTAACAGCCCATTATTCTGTCAATCCAATTTCCTTACTAAGAGAGGGATAAGAACTAGAATTTTATCCGTAGACTATTAAAATGGGCAATAAGCATTTACATAATCCTGATCTATCCATGTTATGCACACACACACACAAAGTTGAATTGTGTAAAACAGTTAATTCGAGAGGGTAGATGTATAATATTCACCGCTGAGCAGCAATTATTCACACAGTTTAGTATAGATAGGGCTTTACAAATGACTAAGTACTTAGAAACTGGATTTTAATACTATGAATGGGAATCATAACAGCACAACCAGTTAGAACCTACCAGTTTCTAACAAATTACATGTATCTCTCTTGTTATTGTACACTTTTTAAAGACCATTCAGGTTAAGTTTTCATTTCTAATGCTGATTTTACAGAGAAATTTGGGAGTTGAGCTGAATGTTAAGTTTTAATCCCTCTGCATTAGACCAGCTCTACTTCCCTTAAGGAGCTGCTATATTTAATGGTTCCAACTCCAAAGAACCGGGAGTGTCAGTTAGGCAATATGTTATTTGCCTCTTACTATATTTTATAGCCGTCACCTTCAGTCCCCAACTAAAACCTCTCCAACGCATTATCAAGGATCTACAACCTATCCTGAAGGATGACCCATCACTCTCACAGATCTTGGGAGACAGGCCAGTCCTTGCCTACAGACAGCCCCCCAACCTGAACAAATACTCACCAGCAATCACATACCACACAACAGAACCACTAACCCAGGAACCTATCCTTGCAACAAAGCCCGTTGCCAACTGTATCCACATATCTATTCAGGGGACACCATCACAGGGCCTAATAACATCAGCCACACTATCAGAGGCTCGTTCACCTGCACATCTACAAATGTGATATATGCCATCATGTGCAAGCAATGCCCCTCTGCCATGTACATTGGTCAAACTGGACAGTCTCTACGTAAAAGAATAAATGGACACAAATCAGATGTCAAGAATTATAACATTCATAAACCAGTCAGAGAACACTTCAATCTCTCTGGTCACGCGATTAAAGACATGAAAGTTGTGATATTACAACAGAAAAACTTCAAAACCAGACTCCGGCAAGAGACTGCTGAATTGGAATTCATTTGCAAATTGGATACAATTAACTTAGGCTTGAATAGAGAGTGGGAGTGGCTAAGTCGTTATGCAAGGTAACCTATTTCCCCTTAAAAAGGAGTACTTGTGGCACCTTAGAGACTAACCAATTTATTTGAGCATAAGCTTTCGTGAGCTACAGCTCTCTTCATCGGATGCATACTGTGGAAACTGCAGAAAACATTATATACACAGAGACCATGAAACAATACTTCCTCCCACCCCACTCTCCTGCTGGTAATAGCCCATCCAAAGTGACCACTCTCCTTACAATGTGTATGATAATCAAGGTGGGCCATTTCCAGCATAAATCCAAGTTTAACCAGAACGTCGGAGGAGAGGGGGGCGAGTAGGAAAAAAGGGGAAATAGGCTACCTTGCATAATGACTTAACCACTCCCAGTCTCTATTTAAGCCTAAGTTAATAGTATCCAATTTGCAAATGAATTTCAATTCAGCAGTTTCTTGCTGGAGTCTGGATTTGAAGTTTTTTTGTTGTAAGATAGTGACCTTCATATCTGTAATTGCGTGACCAGAGAGATTGAAGTGTTCTCCGACTGGTTTATGAATGTTATAATTCTTGATATCTGATTTGTGTCCATTTAGTGTTTTACGTAGAGACTGTTCACTTTGACCAATGTACATGGCAGAGGGGCATTGCTGGCACATGATGGCATATATCACATATTGGTGGATGTGCAGGTGAACAAGCCTCTGATAGTGTGGCTGATGTTATTAGGCCCTGTGATGGTGTCCCCTGAATAGATATGTGGGCCCAGTTGGCAATGGGCTTTGTTGCAAGGATAGGTTCCTGGGTTAGTGGTTCTGTTGTGTGGTATGTGGTTGTTGGTGAGTATTAGCTTCAGGTTGGGGGGCTGTCTGTAGGCAAGGACTGGCCTGTCTCCCAAGATTTGTGAGAGTGTTGGGTCATCCTTCAGGATAGGTTGTAGATCCTTAATAATGCGTTGGAGGGGTTTTAGTTGGGGGGCTGAAGGTGACGGCTAGTGGTGTTATTTTCTTTGTTAGGCCTGTCCTATAGTAGGTGACTTCTGGGAACTCTTCTGGCTCTATCAATCTGTTTCTTCACTTCAGCAGGTGGGTACTGTAGTTGTAAGAATGCTTGATAGAGATCTTGTAGGTGCTTGTCTCTGTCTGAGGGGTTGGAGCAAATGCGGTTCTATCGCAGAGCTTGGCTGTAGACGATGGATCGTGTGGTGTGGCCAGGGTGAAAGCTGGAGGCATGTAGGTAGGAATAGCGGTCAGTAGGTTTCCAGTAGAGGGTGATGTTTCTGTGACCATCGCTTATTAACACTGTAGTGTCCAGGAAGTGGATCTCTTGTGTGGACTGGACCAGGCTCAGGTTGATGGTGGGATGGAAATTGTTGAAATCATGGTGGAATTCCTCAAGGGCTTCTTTTCCATGGGTCCAGATGATGAAGATGTCATCAATATAGCGCAAGTAGAGTAGGGGCGTTAGGGGACGAGAGTTGAGGAAGCGTTGTTCTAAATCAGCCATAAAAATGTTGGCATACTGTGGAGCCATGCGGGTACCAATAGCAGTGCCGCTGATCTGAAGATATACATTGTCCCCAAATGTAAAATAGTTATGGGTAAGGACAAAGTCAAAGTTCAGCCACCAGGTTAGCCGTGACATTATCGGGGATAGTGTTCTTGACGGCTTGTAGTCCATCTTTGTGTGGAATGTTGGTGTAGAGGGCTTCTACATCCATAGTGGCCAGGATGGTGTTATCAGGAAGATCACCGATGGATTGTAGTTTCCTCAGGAAGTCAGTGGTGTCTCGAAGGTAGCTGAGAGTGCTGGTAGCGTAGGGGCTGAGGAGGGAGTCTACATAGCCAGACAATCCTGCTGTCAGGGTGCCAATGCCTGAGATGATGGGGCGCCCAGGATTTCCAGGTTTATGGATCTTGGGTAGTAGATAGAATATCCCAGGTCAGGGTTCCAGGGGTGTGTCTGTGCGGATTTGATCTTGTGCTTTTTCAGGAAGTTTCTTGAGCAAATGCTGTAGTTGCTTTTGGTAACTCTCAGTGGGATCATAGGGTAATGGCTTGTAGAAAGTGGTGTTGGAGAGCTGCCGAGCAGCCTCTTGTTCATATTCCGACCTATTCATGATGACAACAGCACCTCCTTTGTCAGCCTTTTTGATTATGATGTCAGAGTTGTTTCTGAGGCTGTGGATGGCATTGTGTTCCGCATGGCTGAGGTTATGGGGCAAGT